TGCGTGCTCGGCCTCATCGTCGCTGGTTGCCGCCGGGTCGCGGTAGTACGGGTAGTCGTTGTAGCCGCGGATAAGCGACACTAGCCCATTCGGGAACATGGTGCTGAGGAGCGAGTCCGGTAGGTGGTTGATGGTTTCGCGGTCAAGCACGAACCGCCGCCCGCGCACGTTCAGCGTCACGCGCGTCGGCCAGTACTCGCTGAGCGAGTCGCCGCTGGGCCGCGGGAAGGCTGTGTTCTGCGACACCGACGTGATTGGCGAGCCAGACATTTATGTGTAGAGGAGGAAAATAAAAGGCGTGCTGAAATTACTGAGGAGAAAAGCAAAAAAAAAAATACGTGACAATCTTGTCCCAGTCTTCGCTTTCATATCCACTTCTGTGACTACCACAGCCATTTTCGCCTCTTATTTCCAAAAACCGCCCCTTTTCTCTTTCGTCCACAATGTCGGGGAGCTCCGCTGCAGAAATCGTGTCCAAATTGGCCGCCGACTACATAGATGAGACTCCGCAGAAGCTGAAGCTCATTGACTCGTACATGGTCTTCTGCGTTGTCACCGGCCTGGTGCAGTTCCTGTACTGTGTGCTGGTCGGCACTTTCCCTTACAACGCGTTCCTGGCCGGCTTCGGATCCGCTGTCGCATGCTTTGTCTTCGCCGCCAACCTGCGCATCAAAACCAACCCAAAGAACGCCGCCCAGTTCTCGGGCTCGCCTCAAGGGTACCGTATCTCTCCCCCGCACACGCTCCCCCTATGTGCATGCACAGCTTGTATGGCTAACACTCTCATTTTTGCTCTTGTAGCGCGTTCGCTGAGTTTGTATTCTGCCACATTCTCTTGCATTTCGTCGTCGCCAACTTCCTTGGCTAAAGGGGAAGCCCACGTCGCCTTCTCGCCATTTATTCTTCTTTCCAATAAAGCGCATGTCTCTTCAAACCACAAACTCAGCCATGTCGCCTGCATCAACAACGTACGTCCGTGTATACTCGTCGTACGTCACATACCGACAGTTGCGCACAGTGATCTGCCTTCCAGGCTCAAACGCCATGCTGCCGAACGTGAGCTGGGGGAATTCAATGCTGGCCGAGTACTTTTGCCCGGCCTCGTCGGTGCCGGTCACACGCACCGCCGATTTCTGGCTTGCTGCTCCCTCAACCGTCTGCTCAACAGACCCCTGCACATCGACCTCCTGGCCCTTGTCGACATGGCGCAGCTCATCCACACACAGCACGCCACGCTCCAAGTACTCGCATTGGCTGCCCACTGCCGGATCGACCGTGCGTGGCTGCGCATGACTCGACGCATTGAAGTTCAGCCGTAGAAGCTGCTCGTCTGTGCCCCGCCACCCGTCCCGGCTCCTTGGTTGCCGCTGCGGGGCAGCTGACACCGTCAGTCCGGTCATGACAAACCGCGCACCTTCAGGGAAATCAGAAGGCTGCAGGTTGCGCGACCCCCATACCGTGACCATAGCTTGCTTATTCTGCCGGGCCTCGCCGCCCTTGTACTGGTGCGCTGGGTAGTCGCACACGCGCAGCCGGAAAAATGCCCGCACCTGCCGCGGTGGCTGCTCTTCATAGAGTCGCCTCGCAATCTCCGACTCTTCCTCTGTCCGCCTCTCGAGCACATACTGTTCGAGCCTGCTCTTCTGCTCGTCGGTAAGCTGCCGTCCAGCATCCGACGGGTCTGCGTTCCCGTTCATGACGAATTTGTAGAGTTCTTCGCCGTCAGACTGTACCCCAATGGTTGCAGTGGTATCGCCAGCAACCGGGTTCTGTCGCGACGCCTGCTTGATGCTTTCAGCGATCTCAAGAGCCTTGTTTGCTCGCCAGCCCTCGAATTTGGCGCTCATACGCTGCTCCTCTTTCTCTGACCGCACCACGCGCTTGCCGTCGGGCATGGTCTCCATGTAGAGCACCGGATAGCTGCGCACAATCAGCACATCCAGAGCCGCTCCAATGTACCCACCCTCCTTGGAGATCGCAGACAGCGACATGTACATGGCCTTAGATGCCTGGAACCCAAGCCTGGCGTCCCAGTGAGCACGCCGCACACAGTTTGCACGCAATGGCAACGATGCCCCCTCAGCCTTTGCCGAGAATGGAGGCGCGCCCTCGGTGATTCCACACAGCTTCAGGCCAGCGCAGGCAACTTTATCACCGATCCGCAGCCTGCCTCTGGCCACCGCCCTTGATAGGACAGAGTCGGCTGGCGCCGAAATGCTGTACCAGCCGTCTGTGACCTCCAGAGTCGTCACCGAGTCCTTCTGGCTAATCGACGCGACACAGAGCACCATCAGCTGCTGCGACGATGAGTCCATCTCCAGGACCCGCTTCAATGCCGACCGCTCGCCGCGCACATACTCGCGCTCATACCGGTATAGCAGCCGGTTGATGATGCCCTCTACCGACCAGAACTCGCCTAGCCGGGATGGAAGCCGCCGTGCATAGCTGGCACAGTTCCACACGCACCACCGAAAGTGATTCTGCACCCACTCCTCTGTCACTACATTTGGACTGCATCCACGAGCTAGCAGCACCTGTCTGGCTTCAAACCACCCCCACCCCTGGCCAAACCCGAGCGAAAATCGGTAGATGCGAGCTGCGTCGGCGCTCATACCCAGTACATCGTCGGGGATTCCTTTGGTATCTCCTGTGTTGATCTGGTCAGCGACTGACTGCAGCGTCACCCGTGGTCCAAGGCTGTCGATAATGAACATACAGGGCGGCGGCGGAGGCTGCTTTGTTGTTTGGGCTGATCCACTGGCTGAAGACCGCATCGGATTAGCCGCTCTCGATGTGACCGGTGGCAGCTTAGGCGGTGGTTTGTGCTGGTGATTGAATGTCCCAGGTGGTACCCTCTGCGGGGACGTAAAGTTTTGCGTCGCATACGAGCGGCGGGGCAGGTGTGGTGGATTGTGGAGTCGCTGCAGCTCGCCATTCGCCGATGCCGATCGATCCCTGGCTATGCGCTTTGATGGCGAATTAAACGGAAGCCGAGAAGCCGGCCGCTTCATTGATACCGACTTGAATGTGAGCTGCCGTAAGCCTGACGTCGGTGTTTCAGGTGTGTTTGGTGTCAGTGCTGGTTGTAGCGGCGGTCGTGATCTAGGTGATCTGAATGACAGTTTGCGTGTTGGCGTCTTCAGGGACGCACTCAGCGTGATAGTTGGAGAGCGTCCATCAGACACCAGTGCCCGTCTTGCCGACATGACCTCCTTGCGCGATGGGAACGATGTTGGTGACGCCGCTGTTATTGGACCCGATTCTGCCGATCTTTGCACGGGCGTTACTTGCGACTGAATAGGTGTCGAGACCGGTGTTGGATTTGCTGAATTGCTCATGCTGAGCGTCGAATGCTGCGGTGCGTGGACCCGACTCTGCAGCGTCTTTTGGGGCTTTGAGAACCCGCCTAGCTGGCTGATCCACCGCTGTGCTTCCTCGTCGTCCATGTCCGGTAGCTCTGGCTCTTTGGTATCGCCGGTACCAGCGGTCTCTTTCCCCTTCAGAGCCTTTCCACCCTCAATTCTTGGTTTTGAGAACCCACCACGCTGGCTGATTATCCGCATTGCCTCTTCATCGCACATATCAGGCATTGCTGGCTCATCGACCAGTTTCTCCGGTGCCACTGTTGCCGCCGCTTTTGGCTGGTAGCTGGGGTTAGTGAATCCGCCACACTGTTGAATAATCTGCATGGCTTCCGCATCATTCATGTCTGGCAACTCCTGCTCCTTTTCACTACTATCTACGCTGGGACAGCTCACGGCTGTAGGTGTCGTCAGCGCTGACGACCTGGTAGCAGGCGTAATGGGCTGTGTTTCCGGCTTGCATGCGCTGCCAAACCCGCCATGTGCTTGCACCAGCTTATCGACTTCCTCAGGAGCCATGTCTTCAAGCTCGTTTTCATCCACAGTGTCCTCTCCAGCGCTGCTTGCTGGGTCAGTTCCCAGGGTCTTCACCAGATCGGCCAGCGCGTCTTTGGGCGGGTCAATATCGTCCGCTAGGTCGTCTAGCCCCTCGAATAGGTTCTGTGTGGTGATTCCATCGAGGGCGCAATCAATAAATGCACCCATTTCTGTTTGCTGAGAGGGTGTGGCTGCAGTCGGGACGGTTACTGTGCTGGTTGTCGTGCTCGGCGTACGCTCTGCATCCTTGGCTGGCTCCTCATCGGGCCGGACTAGCAGGTCCACTGTGGATCTGGCCTGTATATCACTCGCCTGGCCTTCCTCGTTCATACACCTTCCAAGAACACGGTCCACGGGTGGACACTCGGATCATCAATGCTCATGGTCGAGGTGTCTGAATTGCTGTGCATTTTTATGTCAAGCAGCTCCTCACCGTCGACCTTGACTTTGAATGCAAGGCTGTCAGCCTCGTTGGTCTGCGCATGAGTCGGCATTCCTTCGTCCAACTGCATTTGCGGACTGCGAAATTGTAAATTTGAGAAAAGGTAGAGAAGAAAGGGGCAAAACTCGCAAAAAGCTGGCTGCGCAGAAATAGCCGATTAGCGGCCGCTAATAAGATTATGAGTGTACGCGTGCAACAGGGCGATCAGAGATGAGCGAGGATCAAGTGGTGGGCAGTGCTGGCAACGTCTCGCTTGTAGCAGCATATTGGAGCAGTGGATGGCACAGCTGTGTGCTGTTGTCCTGGTTCATTATCATATTGCTGTTCTATAGTTGGCAGGCTCTATTTCTTGTGTCAAAATGGCTCTGTTGGCCACAGCCTTAGGGAGCCTCTGATCTATCAGCATGTGGATGTTAGTGTAGGTATCACCTGGCACCATATATGACTTCAGCTATATGTCTTTGCATACCCTGCCAGCAATACAGGCTCTGTTTCCGAGTGCTGAGGCATTCAGCGACGTATCATACATCAACTTGTCATTCAGCATTTTTTTTAGCTGTTATCCATAAATGTCAGCGGAAACCTAATGTTGACCAATCAGGCGATGCTCACCGAGAAAAAATGACAGCAATTTTCTCAGCTTCGTTCTCATTTTTAATATGACCACCACAAAGTCGCGCAGCTTTCCTGTCGATGTCAATGTGACTGCTGCACTTATAGATGACGTGCACACCGACGTCGCCGTTCTTGGATTCGCCAACTGCGTGGTTGTGCTGATCACGCAGCTCGCCTCGGTCGGCAGCATAATCCAAGCAGTGACGTCGCGAGTCTCCTACAACGACGGCGAGTTCGGTGATCTCGTCGAGGTGGATGACGTGCCTGTTGATATCAAGTTTGTGCTGGGCAATGCCAAATGCGTCCAAGGCAGCGTCGCTGTACCAGATCTGCGCCATGCACGTTGCCCAGAGCAGACACAGGCAGAACCCGCTCGACACCCGGCCGCTGGTGCTGGGCATCGGGCTCAAGGTGCCGGCTGGGTTCAACCTGCCGCAACCAGAGGATGGCGACGACGGATCAGCAGCGGACAGCCGCATCTATGCAACTGTGCAGGCGTCGCTGTCGCTGGTTGAAGAATGCCGTGTGTGGTAATGAAGATCGGCAGCGAAGAAAAAGTGCCGTGAGAAAACATCCAGCCAGACGACGTCACCACCAACCGGACTTTGGTCCATTCCGGCCATGATGAAAGCGTGTTTTTTCTCGGACACACAACGCTTGCAACCCCAAGCAAATCCGCTCTCCTCAGCCCGACTGGCTGAATTCCACTTCTTTCTCCACTCTTCCACCAATTTTTTTACAAATTCAGTTTTGTGCTTGAACAATGCCTGTGACAGCTATTGACCCTAACTCGCAAGCGAATCTCGACGAGACCACGACCAGGCACATTCACCTGGACCTCAGCATCGACTTTGACCGCTCCGTGCTGGTTGGTTCGGCGACACTGACTGGATCGGCCCTCAGGGACGATGTTGCGACTTTTACCGTCGATACCAACCACCTTGTGATCAAGGGCGTATCAGTCGACCAGGGCTCGGGCTTTGCCGCCGCCGAGTACACGCTGAGCGAGGCTCACCCCGTGTTTGGCCATGCGCTGAATGTCTCGCTCAAGGACGCCAAGAAGGATGCTGAGTTCAAGGTCAAGATCGAGTACGAGACGACCAAGGAGAGCGCTGGAATTCAAGTGCTGACGCCCGAGCAGACACTGGGCAAAAAGCACCCGTTCCTGTTCACGCAGTGCCAGGCGATCCACGCGCGCAGCCTGCTGCCGTGCCAGGACAGCCCGTCGATCAAGCTGTCGTACTCTGCAGACATCCGCGTGCCCAAGCCGCTGACTGCTCTGATGAGCGCGATCTCGACCAGCTCGCGCGACGACGGTGAGTTCACGGTGTACAGCTTCGAGCAAAAGATCACGATTCCGTCGTACTTGATTGCTATGGCATCGGTAACCTGGCCAAGTCGGATATCAGCGACCGCTGCGCTGTCTGGTCCGAGCCCGAGGGCATCGAGGCGTGCGCATGGGAGTTTGCCGAGATGGAAACGATTGTACAGACGGCTGAGAAGCTGGTGACGCCGTACTCGTGGGGCCGCTACGACCTGCTGATCTTGCCTCCCTCGTTCCCCTACGGCGGCATGGAGAACCCGTGCCTAACGTTTGTGACGCCGACGCTGCTTGCAGGCGGACCGCTCACTGACCGACGTTGTCGCGCACGAAATTGCGCACAGCTGGTCAGGCAACCTGATTACCACTAGCAACTGGGAGCACTTCTGGCTCAACGAGGGCTGGACAACGTTCCTTGAGCGCAAGATCGTTGCTGCGCTGCATGGCGAGGATGCCCGGCAGCTGAGCCACGTGCTCGGATACAAGGCCCTGAAGGCCGACATTGAGCTGCTGGGCGGCGATAACCAGCTGACCGCGCTGGTCCCGAAGCTCGACGACGTGGACCCTGATGACTCGTACTCGCGTGTGCCGTACGAGAAGGGCGCCCTTTTGCTGTACTACCTCGAGCAGCAGCTGGGCCCGGTCGTGTTCCATCACATCACACCATGTACGTGCGCGAATTCGCCGGCCAGTCGATCAACACTGGCGACTTCCACAACTTCATCCTGCGGTATGTGCACCACTACCTGGACCCTACCGATGAGGCGAAGATCGCAGCGATCGACTTTGATGCCTGGTTCACCAAGCGGGAATGCCGCCGGTCGACTTCAAATTCGACGAGGCGCCGCAGCAGGCTGCCTTCGATCTGGCTCGCCGCTGGTGGGACGCCCGTGACGTTGCCGACGCACCACACAAGTTTGATGCTAAGGAGTTCAGCGATATGTCGACGACGCAGAAGGTGATCTTCATCCAGACCCTCAGCGACAAGGGCGAGGTGCCGCACTCGGCTCTGGCTGAGGTCGAGAAGGCCTACGGTCTGTCGGGATCGCGCAACTGCGAGGTGCGCATGGCCTGGCTGTCGATGGCCCTGAAGAACAACTACGAGGCCGAGTTCGACAACGCCGTTCGCATGCTTGGTGAGCAGGGTCGGATGAAGTACACGCGCCCGCTGTACCGCGCCCTGGCCAAGTCGGGCTCCAAGGGCAAGGAGCTGGCCGAGGCGACATTCGCCAAGCACCGCAGCTTCTACCACCCGATCTGCACTCGTCTGGTGGCCAAGGACCTTGGTCTCTAAACATGTTCGTTTCCGTACTCTCTTTAGATACATCAGTGTTTTTCTTGATGTGCTTACAGTAGACGCGACATTTCAAGCATGATATCGTCGATAGAATAGAGGTAGTCGAGGTGCCGGGCGACTATACCAGACAGATCCACATTTGTGATCTTGCGCTGGACCAGTTTGTTGTCTGGGAACAGCTTTTCGGAGTCGACCCCTGTCAGACCGGCCAGGTGCGTGCAGAACGAGCTGGCACGCAGCAAGAAGGCCAGGATCCAGTCCTTGTTCGAGTACCCGACGATGACTCTGCGGGCCA